ATCATTAGCGATGAAGCTGGAAGGTGGCCATAGGAAGTTCATAAGAAAACGACACAATCCCACGATCATCATCATGAAAAGTACTTTTTTCCTGAATAGCCAGGGTTTGATGATGAAGCTAGAATTAGGCCATAGGATCTCCGTAATAAAACGATGGTCATGATGAGTATTTTGGTCCAAGATAATGAAATGCAACGTCATCAGAATTGGGCAAATAATTACCAAAAAATTTACTTTACAAATAAACTTGTTTCTTAAAATTTACTTTGACAGTGATCCGTGGATTAAAAAAAAACTAAGTGCATTACTGCAAAAAGTGTAAGAAAAATTGATGTTGGGCATATACCCTTCAGAGGGCCCATATTATTCAACAATAGATATTTGTAAGGTACTTACTTTTTTATATTGTTTTAAGCTTTCATGATCACTAACATTATACAAATATTACATTATAGAAAACATTATAGGATTAACAGTACTGAAATATCGGAGACTCATACAAAACAAGGTATATGGTAACAATCCCGTTAAAAGCTATAATACTTACTTTTTTGCCAGGAGCAGCGCATGCATTAATAACACTGTTGATTTGGAGCATCTTATCTTCACAATAAGTGCCTGGTCTTGTCTGCAACTCCTTCGACAAAAAGGCTCATAGCCCCTACATGAAAATGTTATTACAGTTTCCTAAAAAATAATAATAGGTAATAATAAAAACAATATATATAAACACACAGCTGTATTAAGAAATTCCTCCTTTTTAATTTGAAGTTGGTTAATAAAAGTAAAGTTCAATTTCGTGTTTCTGATTGTGCTTGAGCTATAGGTACATAGAAGCCTTAGAATACTTAATTGCAAAATGATTTTACTGCACAAAATTCACACTATTTCAATGTTTTAAAAAACTATTTTCAATAGGTATGTAACCACCCCACTAATGGCTTCTTTCTGTATTGTTTACATTAATTGTTATTTACATCTTCTTTCTCATCCTTGGCTTGTTTGTAGTCACGTAAGAAATTTTTACACTTGGGGAATTAAAATTAAATAAAAAAGTGAAAAATTGAGAGTTTTTAAGCACCTTAAGCTTCCCTACCAATCAGTTTACTGGCACTACCAACTCTAATGGTTTAAAACAGATAAAGAATAAATGTCCGCTTCTTAAACATCACCAGCGGCGACAGCTGCAGTTACCGCTGTCGTACCGGCTGTAAACCGTTCGTGTATAGATATGAAGGTTTAGGCTGCGTTTTCAACTTCCCATGCAAGCGAAGTTGCGCGGAGCAGAGACTAAGGCTAAAAACTCACGGAGCGGTTTTTCCCGCAACCGCCGTGAGCGCCCGCAGAACTGTTTTATTTAAATTCTCCGTGGCTGCGAGATAGGGCGAAACCCGCTTTCGTTTTGTTTAGCAGCCACATTGCTTTATTTTATTGTTTAACCGGCTGCAAATAAAATGTATTCACAGCTCCGCTCAGCTTATCTTCACTCTGCTCCGTTTGGGTCAGCTTCAGCCAGCTACACAGCTTAGCTCTGCCTGCACCACTCATGAATTCTTGATAATCAATACATATATATTGCAATTAACAACCAGTATTCTTAGCAGCAACCATTATTGAATTTGAATAGTTGAATTCGATCTAGATATAGGACACATGTGTACTGCTTTTTAGTTCTCGTTACATCCGTTGTGGCGCTCCTGTTCAAGTTTCCATACAAAATTTGACAATGATATTTCGTGCCACGCGCAGTGTAGGGTTCCGTAATTGCCTGTAGTTACCGCAATATTTTGATTATTATTTTCTTTATCGGGAATTAGAAAACTCATCCATCCATCCATTAGCCTTTCTCCGTCCACTGCTGGACATAGGCCTCCCCCATAGAACGCCACAATGCGCGATTCTGCGCTATCCGCATCCAGCAGCTCTCAGCACATTTGACGATGTCGTCAGTCCACCTTGTTGGGGGCCGCCCCAACCGCACTAACTTCTTTTTAAAAAAGTATACTTTTTCTGACGTGTGGTTTTTCGATTGAAAATAAGGTTACTTTTCGAATCACATAATATTAAAATAAGACGGAAAAAAATCTAATTGAAAAATTAGAACGTTAGGGATGCAAATGTTAAATTTTCACCAAATTTCGTAAAAAGTAAGGTTTTTTGTGGATGGTGGTGGATGGCATTCTTTACAGGATGCGATACGTCAATGAATTAATAAATCAGTGCATCTTTGGCATTGTAGCTTGTTTTATTTACGTATATACGTCCCGTCTGCTGCCTGGTCCGCGTGGGGTTTTTTCTAGTAATATTTTCTTTAGATTTAAACATCGAACAGTTATATGCTTAAAAAATAAAAATTATAAATACACATAAACTTATACTGCCGGACACATCTATCGGCCCACCTAGGATTAAGTTTTTACGCAGTTTTCAAGCTGATTTGTTGACCATCTTTTTCGCGTGTTTTTTAAAATTTATAATAAATTCTCAACCAAACTTAATTATATTTTTGCTACCGACTGTTGAAACTTAGCCAAAGCGGTGCGTTTGTCGTACAGCGTACGGACGATCCCTTTTTTTTCATACAAAACGCGCGGTGCGGCAACAGTGCGGCGCCGGTACCGCGAACGCTTACCGCACCGCGCGTTTTGTATGAAAAGAAAGGATCGTCCGTACGCTGTATGACAAACGCACCGCTTCGGCACCGCGGCAGGCCGTCAAGAAACGCATAAATTGAAAGCGCCCTTATAACGGCAAGTGGGCCGATACATGTATCTGGAAGTGTATATAAATATTTCGTCACTAGTGGCCCGCCTTCGGAACCGATTCTCTGCCGGCGCGGGCCTCACGAGTCTCTAACGCGTCGATCAAACTTAGCGTTGATCGGCGCGGGCCAGCATCCACACACGCGTTAGCTCTTAAACAAGTTTCCCCGTTAGTTAGCATAAACGGCGATCGCACCCGGTTAGGCCCCTTACAGCAAGGCCCTTCCGGCATTGCCTGCCCTCCCTATGCACGAGCGGCCCTCTGCAGCTCTTCTGTCCGATACGGGCGTACCTCACTAGGAGGCCGCACCGTCCTTCTCGCGCATATGCTCTAGTATCTGACTAAAGCAGCGCTGCGTCGCTCCCCCCCCTGGGGGACGATCGCTTCCGATGAAGCCTTAGAGGCCTTCCCGGCCAGAGGCAGCCCCTACGGGTGTTTTTTAGTCAGTACGAGTCTGACATAACCTTGCAGCCGGCTGTAGGGTATCCATGAGGATTTCTCACCCGCTCCCTGGAGCCCGCCTCGCCTGGGAGGAATCAAAAAAAAAAAAAAAAGTGGCCCGCCTTCGCTTCGCTTTGTAGACTAAAACGACTCTTCATATAATTATAAACCTTCAGTGAAAATTGGACAAACTTACTAATATCATAAAGCTGGAGAGTTTGTTTGTTTGGTTTTTGTTGAACGCGCTAATCTCCTAAAATATTTGTCCGGTTTGTTTTTTTTAATGCCGCCTTTATAACATTACGATAGGACCAGTAGTAATCGGAGGATCGATGAAAAATGTTGTAAAAATACTCCATTTGTGAGCTTTCGTATCGTGCGCTGGGTAAACGGTTTAAGTTACACAAAAATCAGGAATTACGGAACTGTATTCCTTTAAAAGTTCTACATAAAAGTCCGCAATAAAAAAAAAATGTTTCAGCTCTAAGTATCGGAAACCCCAAAATTTATTGTTTGTTTTTCTATTTTGTGTGAAAATCTTTAATGCGGTTCACAAAATACATGTACTTACGAAGTTTCCACAGCATAGTTCTTATAGCTTTGGAAAAAAGTGGCTGTGACATACCGACGGACAGACAGACTGATATGACGAATCGATAAGGGATCCGTTTTTTGTCATTTGGCTACGAAACTCTAAAAAAAAAACCGGCCAAGTGCGAGTCGGACTCACGCACCGAGGGTTCCCTACAAACTCAATTTAATACCTCTACGCGTTCATAAGAAAAGAGGTAGTAACTTTAAAATTTTCAAAAAAAATTTTTATTATATGATGTAACTAAAAATTTACGGTTTTAGCAATTTTTCGTTTATCTGTACTATAAGACGTTACTTCGTACCAAATTTCAAGTTTCTAAGTTCACGGGAAGTAACCCTGTAGGTTTTGATTCCCGTGCGCGTGTCAAAAATTTGCGGCATAAAAGGCTGTTTTTGATTGCTTTGGCTTCGAAGTTTGATTTTTTCACAGCTCCAAGGGACAGTAGACATGAGTATAAAATATTAATTTCAGTTTGATACCTACACGCGTTCCTGAGAAAAACGGTCTTGACAGACGGACGGACGGACGGACGGGCAACAAAGATCCTATAAGGGTTCCGTTTTTTCCTTTTGAGGTACGGATCCCTAAAAACGGCGAAAAATCATGTCTGTTCTATATGGGAGCCTCCCTTAAAAAATAATTTTATTTTAATTACTATCAACTTCTTATAGATTTTCCTGTAATCTACAAGCTATCAGCTACATCCATATTTTCAAAATTTTAGACGGAGTGGTTTCGTTTTGTTAACCCTAAAATCTATATTTACTATGAAAAGCTGTGCAGCTTTTGTAGTCAGCCGTCAACATTCATTAAAATACCTTATCTAAGCAGAAACAAAGTTATTATGCCACCTAAATACAGGTAGCTAACACTACAATAAAATTAACACGTCTTCCGTTGTAACGCTTATGTTTACACCAATAAAATAACAATACAGTTTTTTTTATAACGCAATCGAACAAAAACGAAATGATAATTCTATTACGCATCTCCCATACGAAATTATTGTTTAAGATTTTCGTTTACAGTCCAAATTTGAATGCGTCGGTTTTGAGTACGTTAACTCATTTCATGATTCAACTAATAATGAACTTTAATATAAGGCGCTATAGGGGTGAAAAACAGCTGTATCGTTCATGGTAGAAAATGTCCACTCCCCTCATAGAAGGCGTGGTCGGACAACATTCGTACAAAGACGGCACAAAATCCAGTCGACGACTGCCATTCGGACGTTACGAATATACAAAACTCATATCTTTTTCTAATATCAAATTCTCGCGACGTGGGTAACCCTGGTATCCTATTAAGTGACAGTGGTGTGGTCTGTGGACACTTAAAAAGTTCGTGTTAATTAACTTTTTATACGCTAGTGATGGAATCGGAGATCAGCAAAATGCAGACTAAGATACCCCCCAAAAATTTTTCTATCGAATCCATCGTCGGATTAAACGACAGGAGGTCCCCTGAAATTGATATAGAAAACACTATATCGCAAGACTATTCGAACAATGATCATTCCGAGGATGAAGATGTGAAAGTTAGAGAAGGAAAAATGGGATATTATTTTCCTCAGAATAGGGTGCCGAATTTTCCATTTTTCATGTCGTACGACAAAAGGGTTATGAATGGCTTCCAAGGGGACCAGCAGGGACAGGAAGACTTGAAAAGAGCAAGCCCTGGCAGCGTGAGGAGTGAAGTGGATAGCGACGGTGTAGACGACAGACCTCATGGTAAAAAAATCTAAATTATTATTTAACTAAATAATGTTTTATTTCCAAAACAGATCTCTTCCAGCTTACCTAACGAACAAAAGTGCAATTTGGTAAAAAAACTAAAAAAGAGGTATCTTAATTAGAAATAATAGTAGTTGTTAAATTTTTTAATTAACTTTTTTGAGGCTTTAAAGGTATTTGTGTGTTGATTATTATTTTATGCAATTACTAGTTTCCGACCGCGACTTAGTCTGACTTACAATCAGTTTTCTAAGTAAGTATCCCATAGTAAACGAACATTTTCCGGAAAAAAATGTCCTTTAATTTAATCCGGGTAATAAACTATGTCATATGCACCAATTTTCATTCAAATCCGATAAGCTGTTTTGTGTGTTTGAGAAATAAACATCTAAAGATACAAACTATCACATTTATACATCATATAAAGTAGTTGGATTCTTTCTATTTCTACCTTTACTGTTTTTTATTAATGCCTCTATTGTTTATTTTATAAAATAAAAAATACGAGCAGGCGAGAGGAAAGTATGGCGCACTATCTGTTGCCTTTCCCCAACATTTTCAAATATGACAAATTTTGATGCAATCTTTTTTGTGGAACCGACATCGGATGTGGCAAAGTTCTTAGTGTACATAATTTTGTACCATTTGCCTCTGCCACTATGTCGTATTGTAGAAATAAATAGGTTATGTTGCACTTATGGAAATAAAAGGTTTCTGGATATTAAAAAACTAGAAAGGTAGGTACCGATTTAAATTAATATTTAGTAGTTATTGCTGTAGGCTTAGTTTAGGTAATAATTACGATTGCCCATTCTTTGTATGAAACTGTTATGGCAGTATTAAATTTCATAGCAAGCAATAATAGGATATTTACCGCAGGTAATATAAAACAACGGTTTCTTTTCACCAAAGGAACACGGTCGTTACGATAGTATATTGTTGTACCGACGGCCGATCTTTAAAACGATCCTTCCGATAGACCCAGCCGTCGGCACTTTTGATTTTTTGCCACAGTTAAGTTTTAGATAAACTGTAGAGTTATTGTAACTAATGGTTTTACATCGGTTATTAATTTTAAACATTGCAATTATGGGGGCTTACTTTGTTTAAGTCGAAAAAGTCTAACTTAACGGAGCTTTTACAAGCATTTGATCGTATAAACCAATTAAGTTCAATTTCAAGATATCATAGATGTTGATTGGTTACATATATATTTTTTTAGATTTTTCCAATATTGGAAAAATCTCTAGCAAAAATCAAGTTGTAAGATATTAGTATACTTACCTAAGTTGGTGCACACATTAACGATTGTCATATTTTTAAACGTAGATATGTTTTTTATTTGACAAGTTCTTTAAACAAAATTGAATCATTTTGACAAAACACACGAAATTATAAATGTTTTGTAGTTCTAGTAAATGAAAAATTTTAAAGTAAAACCAAAGCAAAACTTAGGAGATTGTGGAACTTGTGGGGTTTCTCCAAATTTTGGACAGGATTATAATTTAATTTAATAGAAAAAATATTTTTTGTTAAGTATATCAGGTTGATAAAACAACGCTTCATATTAAAACAAAGCAGCTAATTTATCAATAATATTATGAGCTATTACGCTTAATAGGTGTTATATTTACATTTGGATATAATAAACTAACAATTGAGCATCAGATTGTTTGCAAAACAAGGGTATTAAAAAAGGGTAACAGTATTGGCCCCAGTTGTGCACCCCGCGCAACCCCATTTAACGATAGGCAGCGTTTATAAAATATTATGTTATTATAATACGAGGGTACAAATTGAAGTAAGATTATCTGAATGATACATGATAATGTATTTTTTCGTTTGGGAAAATAGAAGTATGTCATTTTTATTTTATTACAAATATGACTTGAATATGTAGCAAACGACATAAAAAATGTAATTTAAAGAAAATAAGAACAGTTGAAGAGTAGAGAAAAGATTAAATATTAGAATTGAAGATTTCAATACATGTAGGGAAAAGGGAGTATTTGCGCGACGTTCAATAGGTAATAGGTATAACATAGTTACCTACTATATTGTGATTATAAATATATCACGTAAATACATAATAATCTCAAGCTAGCTTAAAGAAATGAAAGAGATAAGTATGAACAGCCAGGTATTTCAAATATAATGTGATTAGGGTTTCTAGAACGGCAATTTTAATACAAAAAAGCGGCCAAGTGCGAGTCGGACTCGCTCATGAAAGGTTCCGTAGCAGCAAGTAACATAATTGATGATTAAACGAACTTACCTGAGTGAAGTTCAATCATAATTATACGAGGTCTTCATCCGAAGAGATTAGAGAACAATGTGTAGTTTCGCGTAGCGACCTGCTAATCGGACACTAAAGTTTAAAATATATTTAAAATTAAAAAATAATAAAATAAGATTTTTCACAAAAAATGTGCAGATATTTCATTTTTATAATAGTGGCAACACCAAGTTCATGACCTAGCGGGCATTACTTCAAACCTCATTTAGTTTAAAGCCATACATAGTACACAATTACGAAACATAATAACAGGGCTACCATAAGCCAATTTTAATTGTCTCTATGAGTGCCACCGTGTTATTATGTTTCTTGATTTTTAATTAAAATAATATTTCAAAACAAGGGTATTATGGGTGGGATGGGTTCAAATCTCTTCGGATGAAGACCTCGTATAATTATGATTGAACTTCACTCAGGTAAGTTCGTATAATCATCAATTATACTTTGTTCTTCATCCTCGAGATTAGAGAACAATGTGTAGATCTTGAGAGCAAAAGGAATATTATTTTGATAAAATTGCAAGGTTTAAATTATAATATTTATTTTTCTTTAATTTGGACAATAATAGTATATTTATTTATTAATAGTCAGCCCATTTTAGGCGCTATTATAGCTATTAAAGCTTAATCATCTGGGGTTACATAGTTATTAATTTAAATCACATTACTAATTTTATAACGATTATTGAGACAAATTATTGTTTAAAATTGAAAAGGCAAAATCATTTGTATCTGGGTTTTCAGTTTCCTTATTATAGAATTTTCCAAATACATTTGAGCTTCCACTCCACCCGGCAGTACTTCTGATTAAATCAATGTTCACTCCGAGTCTGCTGGCTGCGGATGTGCTTGCGTGCCGAGTGGAGTGAGCAGAGAATATTGAAGTGTCAATGCCGCTTTCATGAAGAATGTATTTTATCCATTTACTTAAAGTTTGACTAGTAACCGATCTAAAGGGTCTTCTGACACTAATAAATAAATGTTCGATATTACCCCTCACACTTCTGGTCATCTCAATATAATCTATTAATGATCTGGCAGGGCAAATTTCAGGTTTTAATTCGTAGAGTGGAATGCTGTGACATGGTTGGTGAGCTCCTAATCTAGAGGTCTTAACCTTATCAGGTATTTGAATGCGAATCATTTTAGAGCAACGTTGTATATTATGAATTTTTATCAACGTTAAAGTCTGAACTCTATGTGCCGTAACGAGTGCTAAAAGAGTCACCGTTTTCTTTGCTAATTGTTCAATAGGTAGCTCATGGTTGGGATATAGGTTGGATAAATAATCAAGTACAATGGAGGTATCCCATGTAACCTTGTATTTGGGTAAAGGAGTTCTGAGTCTATAAAACCCTTTAAATAATCTATTAATACGATCGTCAGATTTCACTCTAGATCCTATCACAAGTGATAATGCGGAACGATAACTATTTAAAGTTCCATACTGCGCGCCTGTGTTATATATATTAGTAAGAAAATATATAATATTTGGAATTGACGCTACTTATGCATTTATATTATAAGATTCACAGAAACTAAACCAACGTTTAAAAGCTACAGTATATTGCATTAATGAACTAACAGATAGTGGTGAGCAAATAATTTGTAAGGAGTTCGCTGGTACACCTCTCCTGGAAAATGCTTCCCTGATAATCTTCCGGCCATAAGTTTGGGTTGCAGCAACGTCAAATTGCTGTTGGAGTTAGAAATTTAAGGTTTAGAAGCAGTTTCTAAGTAAATGACCTCACCTACTAGAAGTTTATGAAATAGGGGGAACCAAGCTTGAGCAGGCCAGCAAGGGACAACAAGTATTCCTTGTGCCCTATCTGTAATAATTTTACGTAAAACTTTTGCAACAATTGAAAGCATAAAAGTTTAAATTGTTCCAATTAATAGTAAACGCATTTATAGCAAAAGGTCCCGGATCACGGTGCCAGGATACGTATTTTGTACATTTCGTATTTAATCTTGTTGCGAAAAGATCAATATCAGGCATACCAAAATTATCAACTATGAGTTGAAATGCCTGTTCACTAAGCTCCCATTCTGTATCAGGATGTAACCGTCTTGATTCTGCGTCTGCTATATCGTTATCTTTGGAGCGAATATAAAAGGCGTATATAAATATGTTTCTATTTTCACAAAATAACCAAATGTCCTTGGTTAATTTATTAAGGTGTGGAAACCTTACTCCACCCATACGGTTAATATACGATATAGCAGTCGTATTATCAATCCTCAAGAGTATCTGGCAGTTACTTTTATGAGATGCAAAAATACGTAAACCAAAATAAGCTGCTAATAACTCCAGATAATTAATGTGTTTTGTACCTTCTTCGGCGCTCCAATGACCATTTGCAGTCTTCCCACAACATAATATCCCCACCCAGTTTTGCTAGCATCTGAATATATCTCTAAGGTGTAATTATCTTCCCTGATAGGATTGATAGCTATTGGTATTGACTTAATCCACCACTGAATATCTTCTTGTAAGAAGGACGCTATTTTCATAAGAAAATCGTAGTCATCTCCAGATTGCAAAAGGGCAAGATATTTACACCTTTGCAACTATTTGGTGTACAACCAACCATATTGTACAGCGGGGCAAGCGGAGGTGAGAAGACCGACCACCCGAGCAAAATGTCGTATGGAGCACCGCTGAATTCGGCTTAATTTAATTAGTTCCATCAAAATTTTATTTCTCTTTTCGTTTGTTAAAGATATGTGAAATCTTTTTTAATCAATTATAAAACCAAGATACGTACATTTATTAGCTGGAGTATAACAACTCTTTTCCCAGTTGATAATAAAGCCAAGAGATTCTAATAAGGTCTTAGTCTGCACTACATTTTTCCAACATTCCTGATATGTTGGAGCTATACAGCAGATGTCATCTAAGTATATTGTTGATAAGAAACCTAAAGATCTTAATAGTGACATGACTGGTTTTAATATCTTTGTAAATACATAAGGAGCTGTGCATAAACCAAAGGGCAATACGTTAAATTCATAAGTTTTTCCAAACCAAGTGAAACGCAAATACTTCCTGTAGATTTCATTTACAGATATTAAAAAATATGCGTTATGTAAGTCCAAAGAAGCCATAAAATAACCTTTACAGACTAACTTTATAGTTGTTCTAAGGTCCTCTAATTTGAAATGTTCCGTTTTTATGAATTTATTAAGTGCTTTTAAATTTAGTTTTATTTTTTTATCAAAAAATAGCTAGATAAAAATTGGTCATTGCATGGTTGACATTCAGAAACAGCGCCCGATCTTAAAAGATCATCTATGGCTTCTTTGTAATAACCGATTTCGAGGCTCGATAGCCTAGATGGACTTGGAATATATTTTTGTACCACGGGCTTATAAAAAGGTATATTATAACCCTGCACCCATGACAATATAGTTGGATCACTTGTTAACTGACACCATTGAGAATAAAATAAAGAAAGTCTACCAGAACAACGAACCGAGTCTAACGGCGCTGGTACGGGCGTTGCTTGGATCGCTGCTGTTGTGGTGGCGGCAGCGGCGGCCCCGGTGGCAGCGGAGGTGGCGGTGGTGGGGGTGGTGCTATATAGTACTGCCGTTGCTGATGAGCAAGTGGTGGCCGTGCGGTAGCCATCAATGGATATGCAGCAGGATCCTGTCTCCTCCTCACTGGGTGCCTGCTGTTGGCCAGTTGAGGCTTCGAGTTTAAATTACGAGGCTGTACTCGTGAAGATATAGTCTTAGGCTTAGGTGCTTTTATCTCTGACCCAGATTTGTTGATAGCCTTTGCTGCTTTCAGTATGTCGGCTAATTTTTCTCCAAATAAGTGGGTGTCTATTTCGGTCTCATAAAGTTGGCTTTTAATGTCTTTTTTGATTGTTGCGCAAATAATGCTTCTTCTTTTCATAGATTCGTTAAACTGACTATTACATAGTAGCTGAGCACCCTCAAGTAGAGGTTTTATGATCAAGGGGTCTTTTTGTTCTGAGCTGAGCATCCTAGTGAGACTTTCACCGATGCACGAAACAGCGGCTGCAATTTGGTTCTGTTTACTCTCCGAAGCCTTGTCTTTGCCTATCATTGTATCTGATAAGGCGGCTTTTATTTCCGGATTTAAAATAAGAGCCGACAGCTTAATACAGTTTTCCGGGACTAAATGTTTACCAAGAAGATCTTTACGAGCTTCCTTGGAAATACCAGAAGTTACAATATGCTCCCATGTAAGGGCAATATCCTTTTGAATTTTTTCGCCCAACTGTTTAGCTTTTGTAGGGGTTGCACCCAATAAATCAAGAATCTCTTCATCTAATGTGCATTCGTCAGAACCTGCCTGCACTGATGAAGATGGGCCTGGGGTAGGCGCCAAGCCTACTTGTGTGGGTAGTTCCAGCTGTTCGCTTAATTCCATTGAATCCGCCAACAGACTTTCGTGGCCACCTAGCAAGAAGAAAAAGTGCGTAAAATGTAAACATTTTATTACTTTGCACTTTATACTAAGGTGGTACTTACGATAACAAATTTATTTACAAAGCAAATAGCTAAGTATTTGTTTTATGTCTTAACGGAAGGTTATAAAGTAATTCCATTATTATATTGAACAAAACAAAAATTATTAAAAGATCATTAAAAAAAACTGTACAAATTTAGCAGCAACATACAGCACGGATCTGTCTTGACAGAATCGGGTGCCAGTATTTGTACAATTCTACTTTACATTAAAAGTTATTCTACTGTGCAAATTTAAATTTATTTCATTTTATGCAAAGAATAATTGATAATTTGTAAGGATTACAAAAACAACCAGTACATAGGTACTCAAAGTTATTTGGAAAGCAAATTATATTTAAACTCAAGTAATTGGTTTGCATTAGATATCTCAAAGTAACAGAAAAATAAGTAAAAAATAAAAAATAATTATATGTGGGTACCTTCGGATAGCGATGGCACTGGCGACGCCAAGAATTCGTTTCTGGATTCGCTGCTACTGGAACTTATAACACGATGTGAACGTTTTTTACGTTTACGCAACTTCTTTTCGATTTTTCTCAACTTCCGTTTAATATAACCGTCACTATCATTATCATTATGACCTCTCTTTGGCATTATGAATATTTTTTTTCAATAAAATAAAAAAGTGAGGGTAGCACTGACGGACAGGAGAGAAAGTTGTGTCGACTAGCAGAGCACTAAAACGCGAATGAGGTTTGAAGTAATGCCCGCTAGGTCATGAACTTGGTGTTGCCACTATTATAAAAATGAAATATCTGCACATTTTTTGTGAAAAATGTTATTTTATTATTTTTTAAATTTAAATATATTTTAAACTTTAGTGTCCGATTAGCAGGTCGCTACGCGAAACTACACATTGTTCTCTAATCTCGAGGATGAAGAACAAAGTATAATATAAAAGTTTTAATAATAGTGTATTTTTTAATTAAGTTATTGATAACTAAACATTACGGTTCACGGTTTATGCATAAGGTTTATGTTTATGAAATTAAATATTTTTTTTTTATATAATTGACTTGATTGAATTAAAGGTAAATTGCAGTTTACGATTTATGACGTATTAAAAAAGAACTTACTAGATCTCGTTCAAACCAATTATCGGTAGAAGTTTGTATGGTAATTTAAATCATATATTTTTTTAGTTATATCATTCTCTTATTTTAGAAGTGAAAAGGGGGGGGGGGATCATTTTACCACTTTGAAAGTGCCTCTTGCGCAATCTATTCAGTTTAGAAAAAAATGAAAGAAGAAACCTCTTTATTATTTTTGAAAACCTATCCATAGAAACCCCACGTATGGGTTTGATAAAAAAATGTTGAGTTTCAGATTTAACTATGGGGAACCACAAAAAAAAATAATGCAGGAAAATAGCATACACAAATCTAAAGCGACAGAAATTATGCTTATGTTGTGGCAAGGAGATAGAAGCAACATGATAACTATCATTATCATAGATTTTATTTCAACATGACAAATCTTAATTACTGCATTATTTGGTTTTGCTTTCCATAATAAAACAACTCTTAATTTCCCAGTAAGTTGTAAGGGTCGACTAAAGGATTGACTGTGTTTGGAGAATAATGTGCCAAAACCTGGAATCCTTAACCCCTTTTAAATAATAATATGCTAAAGCAACCTTCGAAAATTTAGTGATCACACGGCTCCGTCCACTCTCTCGGGGAATACGGACGTGAATTTTCGTTCCAACAGCCAAATTTTTACTGCCTTTATTTCAGATGAGTTCAAGAAGGTCTGCTCGATTAATAACCACGCATAATTATTGTATGATATTTCGTCAAAAACCCAATAACTACTTGCTTTGATTTTTTTATGTCGCTTGCGTCCAAATCGTAAGGGAACACCTAACTTTCATTTAGTTGAACCAAGACTGCACTCGAAGAGTATAATTACGTGATGCAATTAACACCGAAGGAGATGCAGCTAATGGTGCTTGATAGACAAATCTCACACCGACGCATGCACAGTGGTAGTCAGCGTCATTATGAATGTGAGCAAGATGCAATGACATAAATGTTCGATGTTACGGTGGGTGGGCCAGATCTATTATTATTATATAAGTAGTAGTAGTTTGTGATGAGAACGATATGCAAAAAGAACGTTGGTATTGATATTATTTTTGAATTTAGAAGATAAAATATTTGCAAAATTTGCAATATCATGCGAGAATACGGGCAAAAATCAGAACAATCACTTTATCAGACCAAGCAATGCAGTCAGTAGTTTCAAGACTGACTTAAAATAGTGGACCCGTAAAATCGATTATTTAAAATAAACGCTCCACGGTACCCACATATTAAAACATTACCAAGAAAAGAGCTATTAACACTCGAATTCAATAGAAAAGATTTGACAAATTGTCGTTCAAAACGGTAGCATTTTATTACCAAAATATTAGCCACCGCTTTCAAAAACCTCTCCTTTGTCCACAATTTTGTCACAGCTTGACATTTGTATGGTTTGCCGCCAAAAAGGGTCCCTAACGAATTGACGTGAATAGAATATTGTTTCTATTTTCGTGTTGGCAACACAAAGTGTTTGTCTTTGCTCAATTATGGAGTGGTGGACGTTTTGACCACGCATTCAATGGAAAAGAATTTCTCTTTTATTACTTATTTGTTTGCGTTTAGTTTTACTGCTTCCACATTTCAGCTGACACGTTAATGTTTCTAAGAATAGAATACTGGTATAGTTTTCAAGTACGCATGAATTTGCATTATTTCGATAATAAAATCAAAGTTCTCCTTAACGAAATAATATTAAGTCATAATATGTTATTCTTATCAAATACATTTTCTCTAAGATCTGCGCAAGATAGATCACACATTTCAAATAAACCAGAAGACCATAGTAGTTAAATTCATCTAGCGAGATGTTCCTAAAGAAACATGAAGGGGTTTCTGTTTTCTAGCTAATATTTCTATTCAATCCATAGACCATAAGTAATCAGGCGAAGGGATTGCAATAAACAGTTTATTCATCGCAATTTATACAGTTATCCGCACAGCACAGAAACATTGTTAGAGCATATTAATATCTGGGAGCGAGTAATAACGCGGCATGATGTTCACTGCTCGGCGCCCATTAAAACAAGATGAGCGGATGATTAAAACTTTGGGCTTGTGGCACACAGAGAGATTTTGCTACGTTATATTTTTACTAAAAAGATATTGTCAGAAATCTTATTTCTAAAGTATGTAGGTACATACATGATTAAACCGCGAATTATAGGTATATTTTAATCCTAATGAGTTAATTTTTGTCAGAAGAATTTATCCATTTACACATTTCGTAAGTAAGGCTTGTTATATTCTAGTCGTTTCCCAAACAACCAAGTGTAGTAATTGTCACTTCCATTTTAAAAATTATTTCAAACTCATTCTGTTGAATCCTTCGCCGCGGGCAGTGTTTTGTTAAAGTTGAAATTTGTACATGTTACAAAATTATATTGGCGCTAACATCATGTAATCCTCTCAATGTACCCGTAACCTAAATCGTTAGGAACCCAATAAGCTCACAGCGAGAAAGCTCGTGAGTGAAAGAGACAGCGCATGATTACGAAGCCCCGCCCTGATTGGCGGGGATAAAGCGGCGGCCGTTATTGGCCAACGGATTATGGATTTTTAGTACGAGGCGGTACCGATGAGACCGAAAACAAAGCTGTCACACTGACAGTTTACTTTTTCGAGCGGCGAGCGGGAGCCTGTGTGTTTATTGACTTTTTAATTTTGTGCTACAATCGTTTTAAGTTTTCTATCATTTTGATTATTTAATTTAAAAAGATTTATTTTGGGATGGAATCGTTTAGTAATTACGCGATGGATCGGAAGCTGCTGTCGGTGGAGTTGTTATCTAAAAGTCACATTTACTCTGATATTAGCGTTCAGAATACGCCACCATCTTCTCCGAAGAGCAAAGGTGTGTAATCAATATGAATATTATATAATTATAATTTAACATTTCCAACAGTAATCATTTTATAAGATTTAATGTTTTCTCTACTCCGTATGTAAATTATTATCCCTTTTGATTTTGGGTACCTATCTCTGGGTTGCGTTTTAAATAACTTAAGCTCTAAAAAGTATTAAAAAAATAGAAAATATAACTTAATGTTTTTTTATCAATGCTCTTTTTAATTATTGTTGTAATATGTACGAGTGTCTTCCTGTTTGCATTCTTGAAATGATAATTCTAAAACTATATTTTTTATATGTATTGCTATGACATTTTGTGGGTCATGTACAAGAAAGTATTAAAAGAATTAGATTTATATTGCTTTTGAATTGGTTTCAAGGTCACGCAAGCCTAGTAAACGTAAATAATATAAATATAAGTCACGTTCGAGTAACAAATACAAAAATAAATAATAAAACACTAAAAACTAGGTATACATGAAGTTCAGCGTCTGCAAAGCTGAAAATACCTAAAGAAAATTTTACTACAAAAAATCCACGCCGACCAGGGGGCCAATGGCCTTAAGACCTTGCTATGGCTATCGCTAACGCTAACGATTTCACTTTTTTATTTCTGACAGCTAAAGGTTTTTAAATACCTCACGCTCATTTTATTTATTAGGTATAATTATTACCAATGCAATTGAAAAAAAAATACTGCGAGTCATTTGAAAACCTTCGGCGTTCAGTAATAACAAAATGAAATAGTAAGCGATAGCAATAGTCATAGCAATTCCGTTAGGAAATTGGCCCCCAGGCAGCAGACGGGACTTGAACCCGCACCTGCCTGCCTAGTCCACGTGGATTTGTTTTTGACGTTTTTTTAGTAACCTTTTCTTTAGATTAAAACAAAGCAATTAAATGTAAAAAAAATATATACATACTTGAAAATACCTATTTTCCGCACGTTTCTATTTGTTTTTATAGGTAAATTAAAACGATGAAATAGAATACAAACAATGTTACAATAAATAAAAAAAAATGTCAACAAAATATACTTAGTTATTTTACATTCGATACGTGCAGGCAAAGCAAGCTTTTTAAATTCTTATTTTCCTAGTCCGAAGATGTTAAAATGTCATGTATTTTTTTCACGAACATCGTTATTATGTTGGTGAAATTGTTAAAGCAAATTATGACTTTTAACGGTGTTCTTTGAGAATCACCGCCCGTTTTGGCGGGTTTGTCTATGGTCAGTAAAAATATAAACACGCTTGGTACCCTGTCTTTGTCGGCGAGATATTTTTATTGCTCCCCGAATTATGGAGTACCGTTAGGTAAACCGCCGTAAAATTCAACCTTGGGTTATATTACGTTAAAGTTTTGCAACATTATCTATGGAATCCATAAAGACATTATCTAAAATTCTAAAACATTTGCAACCACAACAAAAAATCAAGAACTCCTTTTGAATTGCTAATTTAAATATACTTACTGATGTAGTATGTATTTGTGAAAGTTCAATTAATCAACAAAAACAGATTTATTAAGAACCTAGATATACTTTTATTACAGCATTAAACCTGTAGTTTTTTTTACATTCAGATATTTTCCAAATATACGAACAGCTTTACAGGTTTTGGTTTGCAATATGATTTGACCAACATTCGTTTTAGACATGAT